GCCTTAGAAGACTTGGAGAGTGAGTGGTCAAACAAGGACCCTCGCGAGTCTTGGGTGGCGCTAAGGAAAGGTCCTAGAGGGGAACATTTCGTGGTGGAAGTCGATGTAGGAGGCCGCAAATGTGGTGCCTTCATAGACATAGGCTCCACGCGGAATTACATAAGTCGCGACTGTTTGGAAAGGCTGCACCTACAAGACCGTGTACGGCTCCTTAGTAGACCTGTAGCATCTACTTTGGCCAACAAGGAGCGCATGATAGTAACAGACTATATCAAGGACGTAGTCTGTACCTTCTCCTGTGGAGGAGGCAAACTTAATCATAAGATTTCGTTCTTGGTTAGCGACGACTTACCATTCGACATGTTGTTAGGCATGTACTACCTCGAAGTTGCTAAGCCCCAGTTTGATTGGGATAAGAAGGTGCTCAAGCATAAGTTGCCCGATGGCCGAACTGTTAGATTGACCAAGTTCAAGGCCAGTAGCATTATAGATACCTATGGCTGCTTGTGCGCGTCAGCGTTCTACAATTACTATAAGCAAAACCAAGAGGAGGGTATGTACCTTGTGTATGTCTCTGAGAAAGGGGAGGCCGTTAAAACACCCCCAGAGATAGAACGCGTCGTTGCTAAGTTCCTTGATCTGTTCGAGGAGCCCACAGGAGTTGTTGAAAGGGAAGTTGTCCACGCTATAGAAATCATTCCAGGGAGTAAGACCCCAAAGGGAAGGATCTATAGGATGGCTCCCGCCGAGTTAGATGGACTTCGGCGACAACTTAAGGAGCTGACAGAGAAGGGATGGATTCGGCCTAGTACTTCCCCTTACTGATCACCCGTTCTATTCGTACCGAAGAAGGGGGGTACTTTGAGGATGTGCATTGATTATAGAGGCCTCAATGCCATCACAATGAAGAACGCAGAGCCTCTACCTCGCTTAGACGACCTATTAGATAGGGTGCAGGGATGCAAGTACTATAGTAAGATAGACTTGAAATCCAGATATCATTAGATCACAATAAGACCTGAGGACCAACACAAGACAGCCTTTCAGACCAGATACGGTCTGTATGAGTTTGTAGTGATGCCCTTTGGTCTTTGCAATGCGCCAGGTGCATTCCAGCACGCTATGAATCGGATCTTCCATGACCATTTAGATAAGTTTGTCGTGGTATACCTTGATGACATTCTGATCTTTAGCAAGTCTGTCGAGGAGCATGCAAAGCACGTTGAGACTGTACTCTCACTCCTGCGACAGCACAAGGTCAACTTAGAGAAGTGTGAGTCCGGTCGCACTAAGATACTATACTTGGGTCATGAAGTATCCGCGGAAGGGATTAGGCCGGAGGATGTGAAGGTGGCTAGTATTCGAGACTGGCCACGACCTCAGACTGTCACTGAGGTTACATCTTTCTTAGGAATGTGCGGCTACTATAGGAACTTCGTAAATAACTATTCCACAGTCGCCTCTCCTTTGACTGATCTAACTCGACTTGACACGCCGTTGGACTGGAGTGATGAGTGCGAGGGTGCTTTCAAGAGATTGAAGCATGCACTCATGAATCATGAGGTTCTCATGGTTCCCGATCCTCAGAGATCCTCAGAAGCCATTCATAGTGACCATTGACGCAAGCCAATACGGCATTGGCGCAGTGCTGGCTCAACAGGATGGGAAAAAGTTGAGACTGATTGAGTATATGAGCAAGAAGATGCCATCAAAGAAGTTGGCGAAGTCCACCTATGAAAGGGAACTCTATGCTCTATATAAAGCACTTGTCCATTGGAGGCACTTCCTATTGGGAAGGTTCTTCTACTTGAGGTCTGATCATCAGACCCTCAAATGGATCAAGACTCAACCGACTCTTTCTGATGCACTCAAGTGATGGATTGAGGTCATAGACCAGTATGACTTCAAGCTTGAGTATCTGAAGGGAGAGTATAATAAGGTTGCTGGTGCGCTATCACGTAGAGCAGACTACCTAGGTGCGCTAGTTTATGACTTTGGCGTATCTGATGAAGTAACTCAATCGTTGGTGGGAGCCTATCAGGAAGACCCTGTCACGATGGACATCATTCGCAAACTTCAGGCAAAAGACAAGGCCACGGAAAGCGAGTTTGTGATGGTGGACGGGCTCCTCTATCTTGATAAGGCCGGAATAAAAAGATTAGTAGTTCCATCTAGTGAACCTTTGCGTAGTTTGTTCTTAGGAGAATGCCATGACGCAACGGGACACTTCGGCTACAAGAAGACGAGTGCTAACCTAGTACAGCGATTTTGGTGGCCAGGAATGTTAGATGACGCAAAAAAGTATGTTGAGACCTGTCAGGTCTGTCAGCGGGACAAGCCGCGAACTCAAGCACCGCTTGGGTTATTGAAGCCTTTACCCATTCCTGATGGTCCAGGACACAGAGTGTTTCCATGGATTTCATGGACACCCTGGTGACTAGTAAGAGTGGCAAGAGGCACATCTTCGTCATCATCGATCGATTCACCAAGTATGCTAGACTAGTGGCTATGCCAGAGACCGCAAGAACTGACTATGTCATCAAGAGGTTCAAAGACAACTGGGTGCGTGACTTTGGTTTACCAAAGTCAATCGTTAGTGACCGAGATGTCCGATTCACAAGTGAGTTGTGGAGGAAGACTGCAGAACAAATGTGCAGTCAACTTCAGATGACGTCAGGGAATCATCCCGAAGCCAACAGACAAGCCGATCAAATGAACAGAGTTGTACAGCACTTGCTGAGGCATTTCATCAAGCCCAGCCAGGATGATTGGGATGAGCAGTTGCCTCTCATCGCCAGCCTGTACAACAATGCTATCCACAGCAGTATCGGCATTAGTCCTAATCAACTTCACTTGGGATGGAAGCCTAGATCAGCATTAGACTTCCTCCTACCTGAAAACCGACCCGCTGCAACTCCACGCACACTTGAGTATGGTGTGCAGTATGAGAAGTTGCTGCAAGAAGCTGTCGAGCACATGAAGAAAGCTCAGCAAGCAATGATTGCTTCTGAGAATCAACACTGTAGACAGTCCACATTTCAGGTAGGGAACGTGTCTGGGTCAAGGCTAGTGAGTTAGGACAGGAATTCGGAATCTCTCGCAAACTAATGCCTCAATACTTTGGTCCCTGGGAAGTCCTGGATTTAGTGGGAGATGAGATGGATGGTGCCACATATGTCATTTGTGTCCCTGGACACCTACGCACTCACCCAGTCTTTCATGCCTCAAAGCTTGCCCCTTTCGCTGAGACAGATCAATTCCCTTCCAGGAGATCGATGCTGCCCCCAACCATGGATGGTCAAGTGGACATCGACGACATTGTGGATCACAGGGATATGCCTGTTCCGAAGCCGCTGGGTCGAGGAAGACCTCCTAAACCCAAGAGAGAGTATCGCATCAGATTCAGGCATCATACGGATCGAAAAGAAGATCGGTGGTTTACCAGAGAGGAACTGATTGAGACAGCTCCTCAGGTGGTGGCAGATTACGAGAGACTGCTGAAAGGGAAGGCACCTGCAAAGTAAGCATCTCAGCGGACTTTCGAAGCTAAGGGGGATGGAATGTGAGGATTGAGCCCTCAAGAAGGGGCCTTGCCATGATGTACATGTTCTGGGCTAAGGCCCCAGCAAGCCTAGTGCCCGCCCTAAGTGAAGGCGGGCCAGCAAATCAACAAGAGCCCTCTGTGCAAACATATCCCGAAGAGGGGTCCATACAGTTGCAGCACGCCAGTTGGTTGGAGTGCACCGATTCTCGAATCTCTGCAAATGTGGAGAACCCAGGTCCTCTGAGTTAGTTAGGCCCTGGGCACTTGATCGTGAGGCCGACAATGCATGCTGGGTATAGAGGCCGAAAATGCCAAAGGGAAATCGGACCAGTATCTGAATCTGGCCGCAGGCCTTGATGAAAGAGGCGCAACTGCATCACCCGGGCCCCAACTGCATCGGGCCTGGGTTCAGGCACTGGGGCCCAGTCGCTGGCTGAAGGGAGGCCGCCCACACGCAACACTGGCGTATAGGCAAGCAGGGCGAGTGGGCAGGCATTCTTGGCCAATGCGAGCATTGCCGGCACGCTGCGCGAATGCGAGCTGCTGCTGCGCTGCGCTAGGAAGAGGTGCAAGGCAGGCAGGCGCTAGGCGGTAGGGCGCTGCCTGTGCACTGTGCGCTGGCGGCCATAGCCGGGCTGCAAGGGGCGCAGGTGAGGTGAGGGCGAAGGTGGTTCTTCGGAGGTGAAGGGTGCTGTGTGGGTAACAAGGGAGAGTGTGGGTGAAGAGGACACGTACCTGGTGGAGGTGGAGGTCGGCATTGGTGTTGACATCACCACTCGCTGGTAGTCAAGTTGTCTGGTTGCTTTCATTGCTGTAGTTGTAGGCTTAGTCTGTAGAGTAGATAGGGTGTAGGCTTAGTCTGTAGAGTAGATAGGGTGCCTGGCGCCATTCATAAGAGAGAGCTACATTGTGTTATGCTGTTGGTGTTGCCCTGTTGGGCATGGACATTGACTCACGATTCTTCTATATCATTCCTAATTGGATGGTTACTCGGTTCCATTGTGCTATCTGCTCTGGCTTTGACTACTTTGACTGCAGTGTGATTTTGCATTCTGGATTTCTGTGCTTGTCCATATTCATGTTCCTTGCAAGAACCTGTAAAATGTCTTGGCCAGCCCCTTTTTTTTTTTTTTTTGTCTGGGGGCTGCTTTCTGGACGTCCAGGACCAGACACCGGACCCGTACAAATGGTTCCGGACTGTCTGGAAACCAGTCCTGACGTCTGGTCAGTTACCATGGACATAACCTTTTTGAAAAGCTGTCAATTGGCAGTGTTCTTTCTGGTTTGCTGGCTTTTTATTTTCTTTGTTCTTTCTGAACTGCTTGTCTGTTATCTGCTTTTCTGTAATAACATTTTTCTGAGGTTACTGTTTTTGAAGGCCATTGCAGTTTCGGTGGGGACTTTGCCAACTTGAGCTCATTGCAGGTTGACTTGACTGCATGGTTGGTCTTTGCAGATGTCTTTGGATTTCCTGGCAGGCCTGAGGAACCTTGTACACGTCGATATGACGCAGGCTCGAGACAGGACGGGGAAAGCATTTGACATGATGGCACTTGCGGCAAAAAATATGGTAGAGCTAAACCTGAGCGGTTTTCGGAACAATTCTATTACCCTACACGCCCTTGCTGGGCACGTTCCTTGTCTGGAACGCATCTCTCTCAGCAACAGCCCGGCAGATTGGAGCGTGTTTATGTACTTGCAGTACATGCCTAACTTGCGTATTGTTGATTTGAGCAATACAAATCTTTATGACCACACTGCATCTGGTAAGTTGGGAACCAGTGGCCCTGCCAAGACTGTCTTCACCTCGAGTGCCTGGCAATTATCACTGTGTTTGTATCCGTGGATATACCTCGTCTTCCTTACCTGTTGCCCTCCTTTCTCGCATTACTGTAGTATCTCCCTGTCCTTGTCTGTCTCTGTCAGCCCTTAGATGCCCCCATGGCTTGTTCATTCTCTGTCCACATGCATTGTCTCTGGGATGAGTAGCCATGACTTATTTTACTGTGGTAAACCAAATTCTTGGCGGGCTTACTGGGAAAGTAATGGTCGAGCTGTGGCAAGAAACAAACCAGAGGTTTGACTATTCATGTCATTGCATTGATGGGACACAAGAATGGCACACGTGGCAGACTTAAACCACCAGTTCATCCGCCCGTTACTGTTCGTCTGTATTTGTGAACAAGTACCGACCTCGGGCCGTTGGGCCTAGTAGGGCTGGTAGTGTGTTGGTAGGCCAGGGCTGGTGGGACAACACAAGAAAAGGAAGTTCCAGTGCGGGACATGCAATGGTGACTCTGAATGGGCAGATTTGGTGAGCAGTGTGGTGCGGCCGAAGTCAAGGCCTAACTCTGACAGTGGATGTCCAAAACGAGAATGAATCTACCCAATGCAAATTGAAATATAGCGCCTCAGGGGGGTGACAAAAGATACACCATGTCCTTATTTTTGTCTTTTCTGCTTTTGGTGAGGCATTGCTGCAAACCAGTCTGCAGATTTGAATAACGAGAATAAATCTTCCGAAAGAAATGGTTAGGTATAACTTCATGGGTACGTCGCTCATTTCAGTGGTACCGGAGCTGGTTCCCGCTACACGTACTTGGAGTTGAGGTGCTGGCAAGGAAGAAGGCCGGGGTCGAAGTAGAAGGGGCAGAAGTTGAGGAGTTTACCTGGGATTGTGGAGCGACACCAACGGAGCGATTGTTTTGTTTTGTTGTGAATGGTACCTTCCCACGCACTTTCCTGGGGATCACTGCTGCAATTAGGGTTCCGGTTGACGTCATCTGGTCATCTGAATGCTTGGTGGTCGAGTCTGCATTGTCTGTGAATGCATGTGAGTCTAAGTCTAGGGTAGGAACTTGCCAGCTGGATGTATCTGTAGGCAAAGTGAGAAGCATGGGCAAAAGCGGCAGGCGCTTGTAAAAGTATGGGTGAACGTTAGGAGTTGTAGGTCTGCTAGAGATTCGGCAGCTGGCGAACGTGCATGAAAAGTATGGGTGAGACGTAAGGTCCACCAGGGAAGGAAGCCAGGGGGAGATCCCCCAAGGACTGGCTGGCATCATCTAGTGGTAGTACTACTTGAACTCTGTGGCACATAGCGAGGAATCTGTAGAGGCATTGAGGCCTCTATAATCAATGCACATCCTTTGTGTTCCCCCCTTCTTCGGGACAAATAGAACGGGTGAGCCGAAGGGGGAGGTACTAGGCCGAATCCAACCCTTTTTTGTGAGCTCTTTCAGTTGCCGATGAAGCTCGTTCAACTGCATGAACCCTAAACCCTGAACCCAAAACCCTAAACCTTAAACCCTAAACCCTAACCTAAAGATTCTCCCTTTCGTTGTCTTGCTACCTGGGCTGATCTCTATGGCATGGACAACCTCCCTGTCTATGACTCTTGAAGGCTCCTCAAACAGATCATGTACTTTAGAGACAAGGACTGAGAAGAAAGAGGAGGAGAAAGAAAGGTTGGGGTGAGCCGAAGGGGGAGGTACTAGGCCGAATCCAGCCCTTTTCTGTGAGCTCTTTCAATTGCCAACGAAGCTCGTTCAACTCGGTCGGAGCCATCCTATAGATTCTTCCTTTTGGTGTCTTGCTACCTGGGATGATATCTTTGGCATGGACAACCTCCCTTGAAGACTCCTCAAATAGATCAGGGTACTTAGCATCGACAACCTCTATCTATGGGGGTGATTTTATGGCCTCCCTTTCTCAGAGACAGACTAAGTGCATACCCTCCTCTTGGTTCTGTTTATAATCTATAAAAAGGAGCAGCAAAAGGAGAAAAAAGGAGGAGAACGAAAGATTGGAGAAGGAGAAAAAAGATTTGGAGGAGAAGTTAAAAATGTTGGAAAAATAAAAACAGTAGGTTGAGGTTGTAGAAGAAAAAAAAAGGAGGAAGAAGAAGAAGAGGAACTCTTGAGGAGAGGAAGAGGCAAGCTAGAAGGAGAAGAGAAGTCGGGTGAGGTGAAAACATTATGAACAAGGGATTGTTGATTAGGAGGAGGTAGAAGTTTGACGAGAAAAAAACGATTAAAAGCGGAAGGAGAAGGATTGCAGTGGACATTGCAAAAGCAGAAGGGAAGGAGCATGATTCACTGGAGAGCTGAACCCTCGTGATTGATTCATTGCTGCACACCACAAAAGAGCTCGCCACATTCCATAAGACCGTCAAAAGAACCACCAGACTGAATTCCAAGGTAGGTGGAATAATTTCCTTTATGCCTCTGCTCATAGGATTGATAATAGGACTCAAAACTATGCCCATCATTAGAGGACATCTTTACCAAGAAACTTGTGAGCACCGCGCGTCAGTATGGACAAGTGGCAGTGGTGGAGGTGGAGATGGTGGAGATGATGGTGGTGATGATGGGAAAGGAGGCAAAGGCTTGAAGAAGGAAGGAGATCAAAAAGGGGAAGGAAAACAATTTGAAGGGGAAGAAAGGAGGAGAATATGGAGGTGAAGATCCCTTGGACATGTAACGGGAAGGAGGAGGAGAACTACCAGTGGGAGGCGCACATGGATATGTACCTTTATGCACAGTTGAGTCCATACTGGGACGGTGTGTTGATTGCAAGTTCATGCCTTGGTGGGGATGCTGCGAACTTTGTTATATCCTTAGTTAAGGAGGTCGGCTGCTCGTCAGTGGTAGGGTATTCTCAGCAGACTCGCATTGAGGATTTCTTTAAAACCATTAGTACATGGCCCAACTATCGATGTCGAGCCTGGATACCCCCTGCGCCAACTGTTGCCGAGGTGTCGGGGCACCGATTTGTTTTCATTTTGGCTGGTTCTTCCAGCCATTGTGGTTCGGTGCACCGAAGCTCGCAACTACCGACGTGTTAACGTGAAATGCCCACGCCCGATAGCTGGGCCGACCAAAAGAACTGATTCGAGGACAAAAACTTGGCCCGGCATACCGAGCATGTGATCCTGAATATAGCCAATAGGAAGCACATGACGTTCTCCGCCTTGGCAAAGGCTCGAAGAGTAGACGGTTCTCGTCTGAATCCCACGGGCTCGTTAACAAAGTTGCTCTGTCCAAGAAATCACAGGAAACACTTATTTCGCAAACTCGATTTAGGATGCGTCAAAACGAACGCGACATCATTCGCTATACATTTTAAATGGTTTTGGCGTAAAGCTAAAACAATTCGTCATACATTGATGGTCATTATTACATAAATGAAAACACTTATTAGTAAAGACCGTATACCTTTGATAGTTCCACATGAAAAAACAATTAAAAGGTAAGCTCTTCCTAATATCCCGCTGTGAACTCGTCCGTGGTAATCCTAGTGATATGACTCCGGGAGCGACACTCATGATCAACTGTTTCTCAAAATTGAGTCAGCAATTACAAGCTTGTAAAATTTTCCCACAAATGGAAGAGTGTATCGACGCTAATTACAAGTTGGTATTTTTTTGTCACAAATGGCAAAGCGTGTCGGCACTAAAGGCCACTATGGTCGAACTACTGCAGGGTCGAACTACTGCAGTGTCCCGATCACGGTCTCACTCCCACACAGAGCTTGAACAACTTTGCACGAGCACTTCCCGATCCCACAGGACCCAATTGTATGCCTGAACCAAGGAAGAGGGCATGGCATATGAGAAATTCAGCAAGATTGTTGTGGACCAGGCTGACTTTCTCTTGGAGGCGAATTATTGCCATTACTTGAAGGACCTGCAGAAAGGAGCCCAGTGGGAAAACAAGATGATATCCGAAAGTACAGAGGGAAAGGATAGCCTGCTAGTCACATTTGAGGGAGGGGGAGTCGAAGCACTACCCTATGAGAACATAGACTACGGACTGGAAGAGCAAAACAGCAGCCGAGTGGCCCATGGAAGGGACTACGTGGCGATGCAGCCCGTAGGGGAGGGTGACAAGGAGGAAGAGGAGGCCGAGGTAGAGGTGGGAGGTAGAGGATCGGGCTCCCAGGGGAGTAGTAGCGAGGGTAGCTATTACATGGTAGGGGTAATGGTTCCCCGCAAGGCGGCTAAGGTCTACCTTCAATGGGGGATGAGGAAGAGGTCAAAGGCTGTACCCAGCACACCTCGGGATCGTTACAGGGGAGCCTTGGAAGAAAATGAATATATATTACAAGTTTTGGAAGGAACGCCCCGAGGCCAACCAAGGCTTGAAGTGTGGTGATCCCAACCACATTGTTCCCTTTTGCGTCGAGTATCGGTACACAAAAGGGAACAACTAGTAGGGGTTGCAGCTGCCCCTACAAGGCCTTCAAAATCAGACGCAGATAGAAGCGCGCTCTGCACAAGCACACTGTCTAAAGAGCCCAATGGTCTGAGGCTGATGTAGGACCCCACCTAGTTAGCTGTCCAGAGATTGCTTGCACTCGGGTCTCTCTAGGTGGCTCCCTTGCAGACATTGGTGATGAGCTGATAAATTGTTGCCAAGGCAGGGCCCGGTATGAAGAGGGTCAGTAGAGAGTGAGCAGGCGCGTTAGTTGATAGTGGATCTTGACGTAGCTATAGTAGCCGAAGAGGGTTGCAGAAGATGCACCTCGGCATGAAGATGGGAAGCTAGACGAGCTGCTAGTCAGTAAACCAGCTGACAATAGAGATGATTGTGAGTGAATATGTCGAGGGAGTGAAAGCATACTTCCGGTTGGAGGGGGGGAACTATGGTGGAGAAAGTTTCAGTAGAGAGTGAACAGGCGCGTTAGTTGATAGTGGATCTACGCGTAGCTACAGTAGCCGAAGAGGGTTGCAGAAGATGCACCTCGGCATCAAGATGAAGAAGCTAGA